CCGGATCAGGTATATTCCTCCCATTTGTCTTTTGGTACAGATCTGGTTTGATTATGGTTCAAGTAGGATCCTTGAATATTGTATTCTAAATTTAGGGAATATGATTCCCAGTTGGGAGAAAGTAGGAAAATTTTTGAAATTCGCCCACCCATTCCGCAACCTTTGTGGCGTCCATTAGATGGATCCTACCATTCTTTCAAATTCAATCTACTTTCCTCTATTATAATTGGCCCTATTTATAGATGAACAAGATATTGCTAGTACCATTAGTATTACTCTCAGGAGATATTAATATAAATTATCATCATCCAAGCCTTGTCCCAACTATATGGCGTCAGCTACATGAATCCTGTTTCGCCTTATTCAGAGGTGGAGCCAAGTTATTGGGTGGGGGGTAAGGGTGCTCATGAAAAACTGAAAAGCCGAACTGAGTAAACTGAACCAAAAGTTCTGGTTAACCGAACCGACTGATATATGTATAATATTATATATTTATGTATGTAATATATATARTATATTGATACACACACATATATTATTAATTGTAGATTTGTAGCTTGTAATCTATAAATTACCTACAGCTAGGCAATTAGGCATTTATGATCTACGCTATTCCATATCTTGTCTACTCAAGTTTCTCGCCCCCCCTAACCGACTGTTTCTAATTCCTGTTTTCATTTTCTCCTTCCCTTTTCATCTTCCTCTTCCCCACCCAAAAACCCATCCAAGAGAAACTAGAAACACCATCCTCAGTCCTCATTCCTCACAATGAAACCAGAAATATACAACAAAGTATATTTCTGCAAATGCGGAAGATGAATGGAGGGGTAGACGGGGTAGGCTGGTTACCCAATGATGGTCTCAAATATACAACATCTTCGGAGGGGTAGACTGGGTAGGGCGGAAACATTTGGCCTTCTTTTGGCACAAAGGTCCAGTTGACCACTTTCATGCTCAACTCATTTTCCCGTGATCATCAGCCCAAGATTTTACCATTCACCAAACTATGACCCTAGACTTAGAAAGAAATAAAGAAAAAGAATACTAAGACTCAACTATGTTTTCCACCTTCACTCTCATGTCTGGTATAGCCTTTCAGAGTAATTTGATATGTTCCTGGGCACACCAAGTTGATCATAGCTTTTTTTTTTTTTGATGAATATCATAGCTTTGCTAGCATGTGGTTTTATCCTATAGGAAAAATCCTATGGAATGCCCCTTTGCGGTGCACGAAGCATTTAAGTGGAACTTAATCATCGTAATTTGTAGGATAGAAGCAAAACAAAGAATTTCATCAATTTTAAAATTCTAATCACTTATTGTTTTTGGTAATCTATTTTGGTGAATTTTAAAGACTAATACCCACTTTTTGATGGGTAGCATTTTGTCCAGATGATGTTTGATACTGATTTGCCACATTTGTGTACTTTGTATATGGAGCTTATCCCATTTAATTCAATTGATACAAGCTGTTCTAGTTATCCTTCAAAATAAGGATATGAAAAAGAAAATCATATAAGGGATGGGGGAGAGGGAGAGAGTTGCATCTTCTATTTCTCATGTCTTGACTTGGTCTACATTGCAGTCAAAAAAAAAAAAAAAAGACTAAACCTACAAAAAAGTTAGTTGCAGTCTACTAGGATATTGTTTATTTGTCATCTGTGCCAGTGGTCTTTCAGATACTCCTACTGTCAGTTATGCAAAAGTACATTTGTGCATATATAATATAATTATTTTGGTTCTGGGGAGAGGTGGTGTGGGTGGGTCGAAGGATGCTTGAAAACCTGCCATTATTCGATTTTATTTAATGTCAAAAGATGCTTGAGAGCTGATAGTATGGATTTGATTAGAGGATGGAGGGTAGGTAGAGAGGGAACTATTGTAACACACTTATAGTTCGCAGATGAATGCAATCATTTTCTGTGAGATAGGAGACCCATGGAAGGCAAGAAACTAGAAATATGTGATAAAGCTGTTTGAAGATTAATTTTGAAAAGAGTTGTGTAGTGGGTCTGAATTTGGAGCAGGAGGAATCTTGAATGAGGTAGCAGAATACTTAGGTTGCCCCACCTCTAGCTGGCCTTTGAAATATTTGGGGATTTTGTTAGGAGATAATCCTAGGGAAGGAAGATTTTAGAACCCCATAGTAGAACAGTGCGCAAAGAAGTTGGCAGCTTGAAAGAGAAATTATATCTCCCTTGGGGGTTGTATTTTATTAATTAAGGTTACTCCAGAAAATCTTCCTATTTATTTCCTCTCAATCTTTAGGATGCCACGAAGGGAGGTTGTGAAGGTAGAGAAAATTATGAGGGATTTCTTGGGAATCTGGGGAAGGTAGAAAGGATCATGTGGTGAGGTGGGAACTAGTGTGTAGGATAGAGCAGGGGGTTTTGGGATTAGGTAACTTAAGGAAGAAAATTACAGCTTTGTCGGGTAAATGGTTGTGGAGGTAGCCTCTGGAAAGCAACAAACTTTGACCCAAGGTTATAGAAAGTATTCATGGAAGTGTAGGTAATGGTTAGGATGCTAGTCTATCTCGGTGGGCTACGTTGTGTTCTCCTTGGAAGGTCATCCATAATATTCTTCCCTTGTTCTTGAACTCGGTCAGGTATGATATTTGTAATGGAGATAAAGTTTTGTTTCCTTTTCCATCTCTTCTGATCTCAGCTGGAACTTGGGTTTTAGGAGGGATTTGAGAGACTTTGAGCATGATCAGGTTGCTTTGCTCCTCAAAACCTTGGATCTAGTTTATTTGGATTCCAAACCTGATGGTCACATTTGGATTCCTAGCTATCCGGGCTCCTTGTGCTTCCTTCTTTTCTTCCTTGTTCTCAGTTCCTAATCCCCAACCTTTTTATAGCAAGGAAGTTTGGTCCAAACCTATCCCTCCAAGAGTGGGTTCTCTTTGTTGGGAAGTATCTCTTGGAAAATTGAATTCCTTGGATGTCTTGCAAGTTAAAAGACTTGGTCTTTGTATCTCCCCTAACTGGTGTACCCTTTGCAAAGCAAATGAAGAAAGTTGCCCCCATTTACTAATATCTTGCCTTGTTTTTTTTTTTATCGATAACAGATATCTTGCTCTGTTGTTGCTGGTATTTGGGAAAAGCTCTTTGGTCTTTTTGGTTGCAGGTGAACCGAGCCGGTGCAGATCAAGGGTCTTTTTGACCAATCAACCTTCAGGTGGCCAAAGAGAAGGGGTAGAGTCTTGTGGAGGTGCGCTAGAGCTGCTCTAGTGTGGACTGTTTGGGAGGAAAGGAATGCTAGAATCTTCAACAACAAGGAAAGGGATGAGACTAGTATTTGGGAAAGCATTCTAAATAGGGCTATAAATTGGGTAAAGTCTTTGGACCTCTTCTCACCTTTTTCCTTTGATGACATCTGGAGGAATTGAGAGCTTGTTGCCAACAGTTCTGCTGCAAGAAACAAACCTTTGGTGGAGTGGAGGCCTTCTGAAGTTGTTATTAAATTAAATTTTGATGGCAGTAGTATTGGTAACCCAGGGCCATCTAGAATTGGGGGAGTCTTCAGAAATGCCGAGGGCTAGATTGTAGCCTTATTTTCTGATCCTATAGGTGAGGGAGACTCGGTTAGTGCGGAAGCTCAAGCTGTACTTAAAGGGGCAGAGATTGCAAAGGATCTGGGTGTGGGACATTTATTAATTGAGGGTGACTCTAAACTGGTTATTGGATGGCTGAGTCGGAAACTGTAGCTTGGCCCTATAAGGGGCTATAAGAAGGTTCAAATGCTTAACTACTAATATAACAGTCAGAGTTCAATGGGAAAAAAGATCAGCGAATGGGATGGCAGATTTTCTAGCCAAACAAGGGGTATATAGGACCCATTTCTTTTGGGCTCAACTGTAAGCTGTGTGATGTAGTTTAGAGGCGGCATCTCGCACCTCATTATGGGGAGCTTGATCTATGTAGCCTTTTACTTGTGATTTTTAACCAATAAATTTCTATTACTTATCAAAAAAAAAATATTTTGGTTCTATTGATTTTTCAACAAAAGAAACATTGTTCTGTGCTTATTGTAGGTGAGGTATCCAGATAGGATAACACTCATAAGAGGGAATCATGAAAGTCGCCAGATCACGCAGGTTTAAAACGTCAGCTCCTTGATTGGTGATTTTTGTTCTGAAATCTCATCTGCTTCCCAATCTTACTGGCTAATTCTTTCTTACCAGGTATATGGATTTTATGATGAGTGCCTACGTAAATATGGTTCTGTGAATGTCTGGAGATATTGTACAGATATATTTGATTACTTAAGGTTTGTCTCCATTTCCTTATTAGAAGTACAGTTAATGTGGGTGATGGAAAAGTAAGGTAGGTTTATCAAATGCATTGTGGGACTTGGGCTGCACATGCTGGGGTAGACTCAAAAGGCCAAAAATGATCATAAAAAATAGGATTGGGTGATCCAGGAAAAATGTCGAGTAAATGAGTTCATGAGGATCATCCTATTAAATCTATTATTTCTTTTTGGCCTAGGAGGAATTCTTGTTAGGGTCCCTCTGACAATAGTCTCATCCACATGCATGTTTGCATGTGGTACTGTGCATTTAGTACTACTTTGTAAGATCAAATCAATAAGTGCTTAGGTTTTATCATTTCCATATTAACTTTTTCTTTGGTTGTATCATCTTACATTTTTGTTTTGAATTTGTTTGATGGTTTCCTACAGTCTGTCAGCTCTCATTGAGAACAGGATTTTTAGTGTCCACGGTGGCCTCTCTCCCGCCATATCCACATTAGATCAGGTTAGAGAATCCACATAGGACATGTGTCAATATCTAACTTAAGTTTATAAGCAGTACTAATGAAAACCCTTCTTCCAGATTAGAACAATTGATAGGAAGCAGGAAGTACCCCATGATGGTGCCATGTGCGACCTTCTATGGTCAGATCCTGAAGACATAGTAGATGGTTGGGGTTTGAGTCCTCGAGGTGCCGGTTACCTTTTTGGAGGCAATGTTGTCGCTTCTTTCAATCATTCAAATAACATTGATTTCATATGCCGTGCACATCAGTTGGTTATGGAAGGATATAAATGGATGTTTAACAACCAGATTGTTACAGTCTGGTCGGCTCCAAATTACTGCTACAGGTAGATAGTGACTAAGGTCCTCTTTTATGCTATGCTTCCTTTCATTTAGATGTGGTTCGATCTGACTTTTGGATGTGTTTAGATGTGGTAATGTGGCTGCAATTCTTGAACTGGATGAGAACTTGGACAAGCAATTCCGGGTGTTTGAAGCAGCTCCACATGTTTGTATACATTAACTTTTTCTTTCTATACGTTAACTTGCCATTTACTATTATTTAGATAAACAAAGGTAGCTGCATGAAAAGTACATGGCTGCTAGCCTTTTGGCTCACATGCAGAAAATGGTTGACATTCGACTTGGTGGTAGTCCTCAACCAATGAACAGAAAGTTCAATGTTGCATTGCACTCCCAGTTTCTACTTGTTAACGTGCATTTTAGCATACTGAAAGATTTTGGATGGATTGCAGGAATCAAGAGGAGCTCCTTCCAAGAAACCTGCACCGGATTACTTTCTTTGAGATCCCACTTAAGAGTCTCTTCTTCTAAATCATCCAGTGCACAAATTGATTTACAAAGACGATAGAAAACGACATATGATGGGTCGGCAATCGGCATTGTAAAGGATCAGCTCCTTTAATGGCCAACAACTTGGTAGTTTTGGGTCCTCGATTTGGTTTACTGTGATTGTAATTTCTTTTTCCCTTTTTTTAATGTTCTCCTATAAGAGTATAAAATATGTTCCATTACATGTCTGTGCCATTGATATAGAGTCGGTCCCTCTCAGCTCAGAGCTAGGAGATTCGAGATTTATACAAAAAATAAGCTTTTTCTCTTGCCTCCCAGATGTGAAAATATGCAAGGAAGGAGCCCAGATCTCCTACACATCGATCCTGTAGACGAAGTACATCAAATGGAGGTGCCTTATCAGCAGCGCAATATAGGGAAAACTTGCATGTGGAAGTGACAATAACTGATGTAGTGCAATCTGACTACTTTCTGCCGGAGGATGATCTGGCTTTCAGTTGGGCAGCGAGGTAGGTGAATCTGCAAGACAGCGAATCAAAGAACCCGATGTGGCTAACCCGGTGAGGTCGCTCTGATGCTTAAATTAGTAAATTGTGTTGCGAGCTGAAAAGCTTTAAGAGCTAGAGAGCTAGAGAGTAGAAAAATCACGCATACCCTGTGTCATTGTGGTTGGTGCCTTTATATAGGCATTGTTTGGTGTAGGTTTCGCGCACTGCATCCAAGATTTCCAGGAGGTCGTGCCTTATCAGTCTGAAATCCTTGGACGTAACCGTTATGCACGTTGACCATCCTCCAGAACATTCAGTACACGGGCCAATTTCAAAGAAACCTGGGAGTGTCGGGGTGTGCATGCCAAATTTGTCAGTGAGCACATCTTGTAAGTTACTACCTGGTCCTCAGTTAGGTCGGCAAGCTCTCGAGAGGTCGTGCCTCGCGTCGAGGTCGCCAAGTCAGCGATAAAGGCAGGTCACCAGGTCGTGGCGAAGATGAACTATGATCTGGGACTCCAAATCATCACTTAAGTGGAATCTAGGTGTCATCCAATTGTTTCGGGATGCCATGTGTCATGAGGTTATTGGATGGCCAAATTTGCCCTCATCAATTGCCCCACACTCCCGAGCTGAGGGCAATTCGGCAAAAGGAGTAGATTGTTCCTTTGGTCTGGAATGACTGTTTGATGAGCTCGTAGTCGTTGGCTTCAATCCAATTTGCTCCTCAGGTCGGAAGAGTACAAGTGTTTGCAACCTTACGTAGGACCTCGCAATCTTGATTATCGGGGCACAAGAGCAAATTCATCCGCTCGAGGAGAGGTGGAACAGGTACTTCGAGAACATCTACCTTATTAGAGATGCGACCATCAAGGGGTTCTACAATCCGACTAAGTACCTCAAAAGCAAAGTTCATCATGTCGTTCTTAAGAAGGGGTTCTGTGTGACTGCTTTATCAGGTTGCTCCACCTAGGTAGACTTCGATGCAGTGTCTCTCAAGCTGGTTCTCAAAAGAATAGCTAGCGAATTTGATGCGGAACCTGAAACTGAGGTGGAGGTCTACTGTGAAAAGATCGACCAAGTTTGCATCTGTCATGGTCTAGTATTTCCTTTGTTTTTCTTTCTTGTGCTAAATTAGTCTTCCTTCCTTTTGCTTCTTTTTTTGTCTTTCTTTTTGTCTTTCTTCTTCTACACACCGATGAGGCTAAAGCGGAATAGTATGTACCCGACTTGTCTGCACACCGATGGGGTTGAACACGAACTGTTTTTTATTCCTCCTGTGGCGAAGAGGCGACTGGGTCTTATTCATGTTTAGCACTGAGGTCACTATTTGTTCAGCGTCGTGCTTTTTGGGCTCTGGGAGCGACTCATAGTCCACTCCCCATAATACTGTTTAGCCGATGTGCGGCCTGACCTCTCGGCATAAGCGGGTGGTCATTCTGTAGTAACTTCTCATATGGCTGCTTCTACATCACCCCGTGGGATTATCTTCCTGTGTGAGTATTTGCGAGACCACAATGTACATGTTCTGCCCCCCTTGTGAGGGTTGTTGATACATAAAGTTGTTGTCGGCGTGAATCGGCAATTCGGGGCTACGGTTGCACTACATCAGTCTCATAGGTGATGCCGGTCATCCACTCCTACAAGAAGCCACTAGGAACTCAACTTGCGGGGGCAGCACTATTGACTTTAGGTCACCAACTCGCATGGGAGCCTTGAAAGGCTCGACCTGCAAGGGTGTCCATGCAGTTCGTTGGCCGTTGGCTCCTGCGGAAGCCACGAAGAGCTTGACTTGTAGACGCGACCTCGCGAAACAGGGCTGATGAGGCCTTGTCTTGGCTGATTGCTATTGAGGATGAGTTGAGGTCATTTTGTTGCTATCTACATCGGGCTTCTCCCATGCTCAGATATGGAAATTCATGCTTCATCTCATAGAATTTCTACGCTTCAATCCCAGCGGGAATTGTTGATAGCTCTACCATGGGGAGAGGGGCATTCACATGCGGTAGCAGTATATTTATATGGGGCACTGGGAATGCTAGGTTCGGCCTGAATTTGTTTGATTGTCACAGGGGAGTTCTCAAGGTTCATCACAGATGTTCTTCACCCCAGTAATTGATATTCGTTCTGGATGTTGGTGCTTTTCAAAAATGCTTTTTTTAGTTCATAAAAAATGAAAAATAGAGAGTGAAAACTTAAAATTTTAAAAGGCGAGATCTTAGCTTTCTAGAAGATGAGGACTTAGCTTTTTAAAAGATTAGAACTTAGCTTCTTGTAGCGTTTCCCACAAACGGCGCCAATTGATGATGCGCGATCTGGAAGCTCCTAGCTGGAAGATGACCTAGACCTTAGTCATGTAGCGAGCTGGACCAAGCTACAAGACAGCGAATCAGAGAACCCGGGGTGGCTTAACCCAGCGAGGTTGCTCCGATGCTTAAGTTAGTAAACTGTGTTGCGAGCTGAAAAGGTTTGAGAGCTAGAGAGTAGAAAAATCACGCGTACCCTGTGCCATTGCGGTTGGTGCCTTTATATAGGCATTGTTTGGTGTAGGTTTTGTGCACCGCATCCAAGATTTTCGGGAGGTCGTGCCTTGCCGATCCGAAAATTCTCGGAGCCGCTTTGCACGTTGACTATCCTCCAAAACATTCGGTACGCGGGCCAATTTCAGAGAAACCTGGGAGTGTCGGGGTATGCATGCCGAATTTGTCGGCAAGCACATCTCGCAGGTCACCACCTGGTCCTCATTTAGGTCAGCAAGCCCTCGATAGGTCATGCCTCGCGTCGAGGTCACTTTGGCCGGTGATGAGGTGTTACAAGTCGACCTAAGTTGTGGTCGAGGTCGCCAAGTCAACGATAAAGGCAGGTCGCCAAGTCGGGGCGAAGACAAACTACGATCTAGGACTCCAAATCATCGCTTATGTGGCATCTGGGTGTCATCCAACTGTTTCGGGATGCCATGTGTCATGAGGTTACTGGAGGGCCAAATCCGCCCTCATCAATAACAGACGTTTCAAAACGCCATTTCATCTCATTTTAAATATATTAAAGTTTACATTAAATTTTAAATCAAATAAAAACAAGGGATAAAGGTTTAAAGGCTTTCTTCTTCAGAATATTTAACGCCATTGGTGGGGAAAGAACAACTAAATCACATCGGATATATTACTGTAAGGCTTTGACTTTGGACTAAGGATCTCTACTTTTTTTTATTCTGCTCCCTTTATTCATTTTTAGGATGTGGAAATTATGAAAGGGGAGGAGTAATTTAGGTTTTGTAATATATCTTAATCAACTCAAAAAATTAGGTGTTTCTGTTAGTGTAAATCAATTATTGTTGAACACTTTTCCATTGTCAATTATTCAAGGTTTGAAAATTGCTTATGATGTCAAAAGTTAAATCTGGGAAGAAAAATGGTGGGGATCCTAGTAACAGGAACTTAAGGTGTGGAACAGGGCCCTTTATCTCTACAAAAATTCTCCAAAGGGTATAATTTCGAACTCCAATGGTAGACCCAAATCTATTGGAAAAGCCCATGTCCTAAAGCCAAAACCTAGGTTCCTCAAGGAAGACTTGTCTTACCAGAACAAGGACTCGTTGTAGAAGGACAAGAAGTTTCCATGGGATTGGTAGCCCTTGAAAGCTTTATCACATTTGGAATTGTAGATTCAGTTTCTCTTTGTAAGTACATTCAATTGAGGGGTTGTTGCCAAATTTTAACAACATCAGTGTATGTGTTCACTAGAAGACAAGGGGGGTTGGGTTGCAAACACACACAACTAGGGTTTTCAAAGGGACCATTGATTTTGAAGATACATTGACACACAAGGTTCTGTCTATGGTAGCCATAATTAGGGGTGTCCATGAAAAACCGAAAAATTGAACCAGACTAAGAAAACAAAACTAACCGGTTCAGTTTCAGTTTCAGATTTTTGAAAAACCGAAGGATCAGTTTGGTTTTCAGTTAACCTACAAAATAATCGACGGTTAACCGAACCGATCGGTATATATTTTTATGTATATTTTATATATTTTTTTAATATATGCCACATATTTTTTATGTATTATATATAAATATATATTCATTATATATATAAATATATACTTATATTATATTTATAATGATCTATTTATAAATATATTACATATATTATATATTTCTCAAATATTTATAATATATTATATATCATTTATTATTCATAATATAATATTATACATATATTTGTATAATATATATTATAAATATAAAAAATTTGAAAAACCGAAGAATCGAACCGGTCAAAAACCGAAACCGACGGACTGGTTAACCGGTGGTACCGGTTCGGTTTCGATTTGGAGAATTGGAAAAACCAGTACCACCGGTTCGGTTTACAAAAAAGTGCCATGGTTCGGTTAACCAAACCGTGGACACCCCTAGCCATAACGGGCCTCACCATTCAAACAAGTATTAAGTGCAACATTTTTTGCTTCATACTTCCATCAGTGACTTAGTGGTACGCAGTGCTCAGGCATGCAGTTTTTCATTGGTTCATTTCAGATATGTTCAGCTCCTTGTAGAAAGCTTTGAATGAAAGAAAAACCCTTATCTCTTATTTTTTTATTGGTGTATATTTCGTCTCAAACATTCTGTTCTAGATCAATGGTATGCGATATTCAGGCATGCAGTTTTCTATTGGTTTGTTTCATGCCCATTCGTTGAGAAAAGCTTTCAGCAAAAGAGGAAGAGAAAATTTTAATATAATTTTTAATAAAGAAAAAAAATAGAATGTGAAGATGTTTTGAACCGTTAATTCTACTCGCATATAGAAGATTCGTTCATGTTATAATACTGATGTGGCACCTTCTGATTTGATGTTCTCTATCGGAGGAACGCGTTATAAATAATCAACTTTGGCTACGCATGCCCATTTGGCAACAAAAGAATTTATATTTGTTAGTTTTGTTAATACCTTTAATGGATCATTATTTGCTAGTTTGACACCATCTTCTGCAATGACCTCTGACTGCATCTTTCTAAGATGATGAGCTATTCGCTGCGATGACCTCTGACTGCATCAAGTCATTTGGCAGACTACCAGCTCAATGTATTCAAGGGTTTTTATCGTTCACTCCACTCTAGAAATCTGAGCCTCACCGTACCGGTGGGATGAATGCTGCCCATAGATCAATGTCAAATCCTCGGCCAGGATGAGGTTTATAAGGAGATTAATAATAGACTAAGAGGGGCTGTAATTTCAATTATGACTTTTGAGGTGGAGTACATCTACTTGTCCCGTCCCAGTAATTTCAAACAATGTGTTTTTTTTTTTTTTTTTTGCCTTAGGTGCATGTATCTTCTTAGGCAGCAAAATCTGAGTTATTCTCTTCACGGGCTTTGATTCATGAATATTAGCTGTGAGTTAAATTCAGATCTTAACCAATCAGTTAAAGTTTAGACATACTTTCAATTGTCAATTGTCTTTTACCGAGTTAAAATGATAATTATTAACCTCTTTTTGGCTGTATATTTTCATCTTTTTTGTTTTATCCAAGAAGAAAAAGAGAACCCAACTCCTTTACTTGGTAATTTTAGCTGTCTCTGATTAAACCTATTAACTAATGATTGGAGAAGATACTCATTTACCCGTGTCATTTTCCTGTAACAGGGTACCTAGACGACCTAACATAATATTCTGGAAAGCAGAAAGCAGCTATCATCGTAGCAGTGTTAAGGGGCAGACAGATATGATGTCTAGACTCGAGAGCCAAGAAGGGTAAGTCCCCATTTGTTGAAAAAATTATAATAGAAAGAGAAAAATAAAATGAGGCTTCTTTTCTAAGCCAACCATGACCATGTGGCCACTGGCCGGCCAGTCCTTACTCTTTGATCAAATAGTGGATGCCATACTTAGACCATGTGATCGTTTGATTGTTTCTTCTAACAAACGCCATTCTTTGGTTAAATGCCACCTTCGTTTGAGGGATTCGTGAGAGTTGTGGATGATGGTGTTTCATCACCCCCTCAACTTCCATTGCATTAGGAAACCATAACATGATCAGCACAACTCTTTGTTGATTCAATCTTGATGAACTGCACAACAATCAAATATTGCCATCCTTCCGACTTCGACGGAAAAAAAAGAGGGGAGGGGGTGTTATAGTCTGGCGCAAAACTCAAGACATGCATCTCGTGAAGTTAAGAAAATATGAATGAACCATGAAAATGAAGTATTGGATTCTTCGCCCTCGAGACGTCGCGGGACCCCTGAAAATATGAAAAGACAGGTGACCCACATGTTTGCTTGTAACAGTGCTTCTTGTATCGCCGTGGATGATTACATACACATCATGATCGGAGAAAGACTTTTCATTTGTCCTTTTTTTTTGATAAATATTTCACTTGTCTGATCTATCGACGAGGTCTTGTGTGTGGTTGTGTGTCACATGTCTCCATGGTCCAGGTCACAAGTAGATCAAAATTAAACCAAGAATGTTATAGGTGCTATGCTAAAGCTTAACGCATCATATTACCATAAGCAAATGATTTACTGAATTACAGCATTGCCATTATGCTCAAAATGAAAATCCAACCATATAATAAAAAGCAAAAACGAAACATCAGAACCCACAACTACAGGAACTACTCATGAGATAGACGGGAGAAAAAGAGGACGGACCCAAAAGAAAAAGAAGATACATAGACCCTATAGCAAGCAAGCTTTTGTAGAACATCTGGGGCAAGCCATGTGCAAAAAGTATCATAAAAGCAATATAACGATGCATTTGCTCAAACCCACTCCTTTTCCCTATCTCTCTACTATTCACTTTTTTATTCTCTTTGTGGTCTAAATGACCGGGTCAAGGACTAAAGCTCGGCCGATCTGCAAAACCTCTGACTTCAGTTCTATCTAACATGTGGGTTTTCTCTTCTACTTTATGTTATTATTATTATTAATCTGCTTTGGCTTTATTGATTACTATTGAACTTGGTAAGGTAACCAGTAATTTTCAACTCTTCTTTATTTACTCCTTTTCATTTAGAAATTATCCGTACTTTTGGTGGATTTTGGCTATAACTATAGACAACCCATTTGAGAATTCTGCACTTTGGTTGTCGACGTGAAATGGGTCTCACCGGTGAGCTTGTTAGGAGTGTTTTCTCTAAGAGTCGGTCTGTGAGTGGGCATAATGGCAATGTGCGTTAGTTTTACTTTTGCTTATTGGTTTTCATGAAACTACTCTGGTCTGGATTTTAATAGTTGAATTTTTCTGTTGTTTGTCAATGTCGGTGGTGGAGGCACTTCGCTCTCTTTGATGGGGTTGTCCAGTTTTTGTTTCCTGAGCATTAAGTGCTGGCATTTCATGTATTTTTATGGTTTTTTGAGTTCAGTTGGAATTGTTATTTTCGGGATTGCTTTGTTCTTGGATTAGTTACTATGGGACATGTTTTTGGCTTCTCGAGAAACTTACCATCACATTTCTGGTTCTGAATTTGATACAATCAGGTAAGAAGTAATGGGGTGGATAAGAGAAGATGGAGTTCTGTCAGATCCTATCTATGTGGGGACGAATTTAACTCAGTCCAAGCTGAGGAAGATTCAGCTTCTATTCGGAGTTCTGAGGCCACTGTTACACAGCCCGTAGCAGAAGACTTGAAGGAAACAGCAGAAACTCAAAGTGGAACGAAGGAAGAAGTAACCAACGAAAAGAAGAACTCACCTGCTAAAGTTTTGAGCAAAGAGGATGCAGCAATTCTCATCCAGTCGGCATTCAGACGCTTTCTGGTTGATACATGCTCTGTTACAAATAATTCCCACACTTCGTTATTTTCTCAGATTTCTTTGAAAAATAGGAAATTTTGATACATTTTAGTTTAGGATTCCGAAATAAAACTTAATGAATATAGCATTTGAGTTTTCCAATACTTTACACACATACACACTGAATTTTTTCCTCAGAGAAAGATCAAGATGTTGGAGTTTCATAACAATTGAAGTTGCCATGATGGAAAAAAGGAAATTTATGAATGAGATATTTTATTATGTTCATGCTCAAAAGCTTCGGTTTCCACATAATCTTACTTTTCTTCATCTTTTTCTATTTTTATTTCTGAAGATATTTAAGTGTATGTGTGTGATGAATTTCAGGCTAGGCGTCAAGATGGAGAAATGAAGCAAATAGATGAGAGGGAGACAGTCCAAGGAATGGAGAGTCCAAGTAGGGAGTCCATGGGTACATCAGTTGTAGTTCAAACAGGAAATTCTGTCGAAGTTCTTAGAGTCCAGGGGAATAGGATGGCTGTTCAACACCGAGTGCAGCAGAAATTCCGTACTCAGGTCTCCAAGCTGAAGGTAATCGATCAACAGTTTAGCATCCTTATGCTCCAGCTATTAAATATAAATAGCCACAAGGAATAGATTGTCCATATCGTTTCAGTACTGGATAACTAACTGTAACTCTTCGAAACTCAGCGAAGTTCCAATTGGTAGAGAGATTAACGAGACTTAGAAACATGAGGTGGTTGCAGAGACACCAAAGCACATAGATTTGAATATGGAATCTTTAACCAAGAAGGGTATTCCATGATAAGATTGTTACTTGCTACTTGAATATCATAGTGGATTTCATGATGATGGTTTGTGAAAGCCGAATTAATGTTCTTTGAAGAATACCAAGGACTGAAGGACAAACCAGGGTGGTTAACCTTGTCTAACAATGGCTCAAGATAATGTAGAATATAATAAAGTTATGATAAGATGGCCAATAAAATATTGTTCTTATAGTATATACAAGGTTTTAACTTTGTATGAATACTCTCATGAAGTGCCTATTCTACACTCGACAAATTGTTCTAGTTTTTTTTGTAAATAGAAAGAAACAAACTATTATCAAGGGGTATGACTAATTAGTTATACATGGAAGCACATTAAATGTGTAAAATCATATTCCAATTAATATTTATAATGTCATATGGAAAATTGAATTTTCTTGCTGCAGTATTTGGTCATTTTAGTTATTTGATTCAAAACCCAACTTGAAGCAGAGACAACTTGGATGAGATGTACAACCATACCATCTGAATTCATTTTAAGCATTAGTTCTGCAGATATTCAACTCAAAACATATCTTGTAGCCCATGAATTCTGCAGGAAGATTGGGATGATAGCACAGTGAGCAGCAACATGTCAAAATTGAGGATACAAAACAGACAAGAAGCACTTACCAGACGTGAAAGAGCTCTAGCTTATGCATTCTCTCAACAGGTATGGATGTAACATTTGTATAAAATGAGCATAGATAAGGTTATCAAGATTCTGAAATAATTAAAGTTTTTTTTTTCTAATTTGTTAATAGCTAAGGATTTGTTCAAAGAAAAAGGCAGCCTATTCTGACACCACAGAACCCAACATGGGCTGGAGCTGGCTAGAACGATGGATGGCAACTCGTCAGACAGATTGTTCCTTGATCGAAGATCGTATGAGCAAGCGCTTCGACCCAATTGACATTGGTCAAAGATGTCTCATTATTAAGAAAAATTTTGATATAGCAGGAGAAGAGAAAGAAAGTTGTGGATCTAATGAGGTACCTGTTGGGATTGATAGTTTCACTATGACTGCACCAAATAGATACAAACCTCTTAAGAACAGTATGAAGGCTACAAGAAGTGTGTCACGAAGAAAAACTGTGCCAAGCTACCAATATGCATCACAATTTACCAAGGTCAATTCCTCCCATTCCTGCTATTCTCAATTATCCAAGTATCAGTACTTGAAATAACTGAAACAGTTCATAAAAATTGGTAAAATCCAGATTTACTTCCAATTTACCCAATCATAAAAACTTGAACCAGAGGGGGAGTGACAATGCTCCAGACATGTTATGCACTCCAGTCTTGGTTTGTTCTGCTTTATGAAGCAGAGATTTAGTAGCCACATGGGATGAAATCATTTCATCTTAGTTTTCTTTGATACTTAAATGCAAAAGTTCATCTTCTAAATTGTACCCATAGAATGTTTGACAAAACTGAGACGAGTTCATATCATGAAATCCCGAAGTAACTTCATTTGTTGGCATTCCATTAATGAAATCCTAAAGTATCTTCTTTTTTTATTTATGTCCAGGGAATTAAGCCACTTTTTTTTTATCAATAGAATGAAGCCACTTTTATGTTAGTGTAAAATTTTCATTCCTTCGTGCCCATAAATGTGGAATTTGATTATTTCCTCGTGGAGAAACTTAAGTGGTGTTGATTATCTGACAAAAGAAAGTACTACAACTCAACTGATTTTCTTTATCTTTCTGAGTTATCCACGTTTCTTTTGTAGAACTTGTTATCTCAACATTAATCTCATTGAATTTTCTGATCATGTCTATTTTCATTCAATTTTGCCGCAGGTTAGCAAGAAAGGCTCTTTTAAGGAAGCTGAGAAAGATAAGAAAAATAAACAAATGCAGCCACAAAGCACAGAAAAGTGAAGTGGAAATATGCTCCATCGAAGGCAACATCTGTTCCACTGATCATGGCTTCAAGTGAGGTCTTTGAATCAGAAGACACGAGTTTCCAATTTCCTCTTTGTTGGTAATCTACTAATCTATTTCAGCTTCAAACAGACATATGATGCAAGTTGTCCTAGCATGCAAAGTGCAAAGTGCAGACTCTAAGGCCTCGTTTAATAACACTTTTCAGTGGTCTGGTGTCTTAAAAACTTGCTTTTCAGACACCAAACTGTGAGAGAAAATCGATATGAAATCTTTTTTTTCAGATCTGAAATTTTAAGTTAGTAGCCTGGCACTTATGCATTCAGACGTAATTGAGAGGTGTGTAAAAGACATAAATGCCCTCAAAGAAATTTTAATATTACATGTTTTTGTCCTTCATGTAACTCGAACCGAACCCTCATTGCAACCTACGAAGCTCCACTGCCACCACCGCTGCTGCACTCTCTCTCTCTCTCTCCTGTATTCCCGCCACTGCCGCTGCAACTTGTTAATAGGTGTAGGTCATGCAATATTTAGCCAAATCCAACTCAACCTAGCCCTACCCGACTTAGTTTGAGCTTGGAGCCAAGTCCAACAATGAGCAAACCCACATCGGTTAGCTCCAAGGTTTAAAGTATCGACACATATCAGCCCTTATCAGCCGATACGTATCGTTCCAGGACCCCTCCGATGCACCCCTACAGTGGGTGTACCGGAGGTCTGACCGGTTCAGGAGGTAGAGGAGACCTAAACCGCCCCCCCTGAACCGGTTGCGAAAAAATTAAAAAAAAAAAGCAATAAAAATGTATCAATTCGCCCGATACGCCCCTACCGGCGTATTGAGCGTATCGATATTTTGAACATTTATTAGCTCAGCCACACCACACTTGGGGCATGCCTGAATTAGCAACAATGGAAATTGTTTTGAGCTAAAAGTCTAAAATTACCCGAACCCAACCACAACCCCCGATCAGTGAGATTCTCTTTGCTGCTACAGTAAAACAAAGAGAATGAAGAACGGAGGACGGTAAAGAACAGAAATTCATACCTTGTCGTCTTTCCTTCTCGCTCATACAAATTATGAGTAAGCAAAACGTACATTATTAAACTAGCAAGGGAAGTGTAACAATCATTTGAAATCAGAATTGGAATGGTCTATTCCCATAGTCTATTTGGTTCAGACAGGAATGAAAATAAAAATTAAAATAAGCATGAATGAGATTTTATTCCCAAGGGAGGGGCAGGAAATGGTCATACCCTCAAATGGGGGAATGCCATTCTAGCAGGAATGGGAGTGAGATTCCAATTCTGCCCAACCAAACAGTTGGAATTGGAATAACCCATTCCAACTCCAATTCCAAACCCCTATTCTTGCAAACCAAACGAGGCCTAAGTGTCAAGTGTTATGAGAACCCACTTGATCCATCATCAGCAATGTCTATGCCATTGTCCGTGACAGTACTTGCCTCATGTGGACAACCTCTAGAAACATTGCTTAAACTTAAAGTGCACCTCTGATGGATGACTTTATACATTGCTTAAGGTGCACCTCTGTGGGGTAAACCTTAGCTGCTTGGGAAAAGACAGCAGCCTAGGCTGCTTTGGAGCATCTTATGTATGACATGACCATGGCTGTGGGGAATAAAGAGAAAATGAACTGTTGCTTTACAGTTGAGTGACTGTACCAAGGTATTGAAGATATCTTCACGTTCCTTTGGAGCTTGCAAGTAATCCCCTATGAAGAAATGGTGAATACTCTCAATGGCATAGCATAAATTGTTCAGAGCCTAAATAAGATGGACAAAACATGATATTTTTAACCGACTCAAATATGCAGGTAATTGGATTTTGATCAGATCAAAAATGCTTTTCGTTAGATAATTTGTTCTCAAATTGCTGAAATAAAAGCGCCTCCGACTGCAGTCCACAATGTCAATTATCAATATTTGAGCCCGAACATTTCACCATAACTTCTTCAAGTGATTGAAGGTTTCACAGAGTTCAAATGGGGTTTTTGACAACTTCTCCTATTTGCATGAGTTGATGAGGGTCACTTCTGTGTAAAAAACGGAAATTGGAAGCTTGCTGTAAGTCCAATTCTGGGGCATACGGTCTATAATTGTCTTTTTGCATAAAGAGAAAGATTTGCCAGGAGAAACTACAACAAGAGATCCAGACTTGGGTATCAAATTCACCAGAAAAACAATCACATCATTAACTGAAGAAGCTAACAATATGACAACGAAAACTAGCGATCTACGAACCTAAATTTCAGGGATAGAAAAAGGTTTCACATGGAGAACAAAAAATGAAAGAGGACAAGTAGTGGAAACTCAAACCAACCGCCATAGGATAAACAAACCCTAGTTTCATATGCCAAATACCAACCCCGAATCCAACCTTACCTCCTACCCCCGATATCGTATAATTAAGGTGTTCAACATAAAGACAGACAAAATTCTAATAAAGCGGAGAAGAAAAATAGCGTAACTCCTAAGTAGAGCAAAGGGAGAAATTTATGAAACCCAAGCATAGAAACGATACTGGACTGGATCAATTTGCTATTACTTCCATTCCATTTCACCCAGGAAACTTTCATTCGTTGTGTCATCTGATATCTCGTCTGTGAAAAAAAATATCTGATACTACAATATCCAATTCATCCTTATAAGTGTAAGAAAGAAAGCATATAAACTCTAGATGGTAATTCCAAAACCTAGATCTTGTCGATGTCCTCGTCCTCAAACTCGATATAATCGTCAACGGCTCCATCTTCCTCCTCGTCGAGGCCGGCGGCGATACCTTCGTTAAGACGGGTGCTATCCGGGAGTTCTCCGTAGGCCTTCAAGAGCCTGGCTTCATCGGGCATGTACTTGAGGATGACATCCGCCTTGTCGTCCTGATAATCACGGAGACCGACGAGTATGATGTCACCGGCGGCGATCCAAACCTTCTTATGCATCTTGCCCCGGATGTGGCAGAGACGCTTGGTGCCGTCTATGCACATGGCTTCGCAACGGCCGTTCCCGAGCATACGAAGGACTTGCGCATACTCCTGCCCGTCTTCCTTGAAGACGAGCTCTCGCTTCTCGTCATCTGCTTCGTTCTTTCCCCTCTTCCTGTTCTTACCTCCCTTTCCCTTGTTCTTCGGCATGTCAAAGAAGATCGGTTGCAGAAACCCTAACCCTAGCTTCGACTTTCTTTAGTAGATTTTCTCTGGTTTCTAATGTCTAGTTGCTTCCCTCCCGCGGGCTTCTCTTTCTATGTGGACTGCTAAGCTCGATTGTTAGGGGAACAAGACTTGCAGGGTTGCACCCCCGAACCCGATGAGGTTCCGTTTCTCTTTCTCTTAAATACCGAAACCTCTTCCCTCTTAAAAATTCGACTAAGGGCCCCCTTGCCCATTTGGTTCGTGGGAATAGGGGTGTGGAATTGGAATCCAAATGGGTCCGACTGGAAATTTCGATTCAAACGGTTTGATTGGACTAATTTGGAATCCCACTCTTATTGCTCATGGAATGGCTACTTCCTATATTCTAAAATTACCCCCTTTTGATCAACTTTAGGGGTGGCAATTTTCCCGGTCCCCGACGGGTACCTGGGCTCCCCAATCCGATGGGGTCAGGGATAGGGGTACCTTGGCGGGGTTGGGGTCGGGAATGGGGCTACTCTTGAATCCCCAATCGGGGACGGGGACGGGGATGACGAGAGAGAAGAGATTAAAACTTAAAATAGTAAATAGTATAATAATTATTATTCATTTTTTTAAACGATTAAAACATAAAAAATAGTAAAATACTAAAACCCTCGATAGTAAAACACAAAACACTTCGACAAAGAGAAGATAGAACTTTGTCTCTTAACCTTCGGTGGTGACTTTGTCTCTGAACCTTCATTGGCGATTCTGTCTTTGAACCTTCGTCCTCTACTCTTCCTTCGTCTTTGTTGCCAGTTGCCGATTTGCTGACCATCATCTTGTCGTTGTCGCCACTCACCCATCGGACAGAGGATATACTCGAGTGATATAGAGAGAGCTACTCAAAGAAGAGTCATTGTTGCCACTCGCCAACCGTCGTTGCTTCAACCTTCGTCTACCATCGCCGAGTCGCCATCGCCCGTCGAACTCTCTCTCATCACTGACCTCAACTCTCACAATGGTTCTCTCTCTCTCTCTCTCTCTCTCTTAGTGTGCATACATATCTCATCAGGGATTCAGGTCTCTGATGGGGAATTCATCCATGTTGGGGTCAGGGATGGAGGGGAGACTCTTTTCCCTGTCGGGGATCAGGGACAGGGATGGGGGTGATTTGAGGGTTGGGTTCGGGGCGAGGGGATGGGGAATGTAATCCCTGCCCTAAACCCGCACCATTGCCATTCCTAATCAACTTTACTCACCTAACCATTATCCTACTGGGTCACTAACGGGTTGGTTAATCCAATAAAGGGCTATTTAAGTTGAGTTTAACTGAGTCATATATCCAATGGGTAACCATTAACTTTAACTATATCAAGATTTCTACTTTCCTCTCCCCCTCCCTCTATCTCCCTCTCTCTCTCTCTCTCGATCAAGCATATTTCATATAGATTACTTGCCACAGTAAATAGAAAGAATCGATTATGGGGTTGTTTGGCACTGTTGTTGTTTCCTGGAGCAACGACGCCACATTGAAAAAAATTATGCTCTAGGAAATGGGCATTTGTTTGGAACCATTTTTCCATAAAAAATGGTACTCCAAGCCACACCTCGGAAATCATATCCAATGGGTAACTATTAACTTTAACTATGTCAAGATTTCTGCTTTCCTCTCTATCTCCCTCTCTCTCGATCAAGCATATTTCATATAGATTACTTGCCAAAGTAAATAGAAAGAATCAATTATGGGGTTGTTTGGCACTGTTGTTGTTTCCTAGAGCAACAACGCCACATCGAAAAAAATGATGCTCCAGGAAACAGACATTTGTTTGGAACTGTTTTTCCATAAAAATTGGTGCTCCAAGCCACACCTCGGAAATCAGGAAGCCATGGCTTGGAGCAATGCCAAATTTGGCATTTCTTGGAGTTGTAGCTCATTGCTACCAATAGGCCAATGATGTGGCACTGATGTGGCACTGGATAATGGGTACCAATGTAGAAAACATTTCCTGGAGCAATGGTACCAAACAGAAAAAGTTGTTGTTGCTCCAGGAAACGTCCCACCTGACAGCAACGATTCCAAACAAAAATTGATGAGGGCGGATTTGGCCCTCTAGTGAAATTGTGACACCTGTCACCTCATGCAAACCAAGTGCAGCCTCTTGACAACTGGGCAGCTTGGGAAGCTCGGGCAGCTCGGCAGATCTTGCCACAGCTTGCCACTTACAGACAGCTCGGCATGGCTCGCCACAGGCAGCTCGGCAGAGCTCGCCACAAGCATCTTGGCATAGCTCGGGGAGCTCGGTATAGCTAGGGGCAGCTCGGCATAGGCAACTCGCCACAGGCAGCCTGGCGTCTTACGAAGAGCTCGCCACTTAGGGGTAGCTCAACACTTACAGGTAGCTCGGCATAGGCAGCTTGCCACAGGCAGTTGGCCACTCTGCAGGCAGCCTGGCGTCTTACGAAGATCTCACCACTTAGGGGCAGCTCGGCACTTACAGGTAGCTCAGCACTTAGGGGCAGCTCGGTGTATCGTAGGAAGATCTCCTGCCTGACAACCATACCTGACAGATTCGAAGACCTGCGCCCATGTCTCTCGCTAGGCGGCGCCGTGCCTGCCAGTCTAGAGAGTTGTCCCTTGACTAGCAGAGCCGTACTCTACAGCAGCCGCCTGCACCCGCCACCTCAGCTCTCGCAGTAACGGCTGTGGCAGAGAGATAAAGGCTGTTACGCCTGACTTGACAGAGGCTGTTACGCCTGATTTGACAGGACACCACTATATAAGGACTC